AAGGCCTTCGTGAGTGTGCTCTTCGTTTGTCGGTAAATACCATTAAATACCATTGTTACTAAAAGTTAGTGAGTAACACACATAATTGGGGTTCCAATTAGCTCGCAAACGAACAATCAAAAAAACAGGGTGAGTGCATCCTGAAACAGATCGGGGTAAAATAACCCATTAATATTGCTTTAAATTTGAGGGAAATATACTAGAACAAGGTTTTTTCGGTAGAAAGAGACTTCAAAAGTTGAGTAGGGTCGTCGTGTTGAGAAAATGTAGTTCCTCTTGGAATTCCAAATGCATAAACTGAGATGAGTACTTTGAGACGATAAAACAGCGAATTTTTATGTCAGAAGATCGACTCAGCCTTCGTAGAAGTTCAATCTGCAATGCTCAATGGTGGAATGGACTTCTTAGACTAGTAATCAGTAGAGGCGACGATTTTCAAAATCCGAAGGGTCCAGTATATTGCAGGACTTAGACAAGTCCTCCTGATGGTGGCTGAGGGAGATGATATTGGGCAGGCGAAGTATATTCTTAATACCCACAGGCTGCAAGAGCGTCCTGTAGTCCTTAATCGCAAAGAAATCTAATTTCCTCGGAGGCCGAAGATGGAGGTCAAATTTGAAACACGCGCGTGTTTGTGTCATGATAGTGTTATTTTGGTAACGACAAGTCAAAGTTTAACTACGGGTTCCTGAAAAAGAGGACACACAGAGAGTTGATGCGCTTGTCTATAAATACTAACCAAAACTATTTTCGATCATAAATTACTTTTTAAGAAGGGTTATTATATCTATTATCACGCAGCATAATTTTCAGATATTGTAGTAACGTCAGGATGCCGACTTTTTAATGAATTTCTTTCCGGCTGCCCGAAAAAGTTACCTCTATACAAATAACCATTGGAGTAGTGTGCATACCTTCATTAATTTTGGATGACTGTTTTGCATTAAAAAACGTCCTTTTGCGCTACTAAGAGCACGTCATTTAGGGCTCATGACATTTTCCAATGGATGTGGACCATTTTGTATGCTTTATATGGAAAGTTTATAAAAGGACAATTACGAAACCTTATGAATGGAAATTCCATGTTCTTACAACAGGTCATAATCTTAAAGCAAAAATGGCTGCATCCTTCGTCGCCCTTACCGGCTCGTAGACTGACATGTAAGCAATATAAATGGCAGATGAAGATTTTAAAGACCAAGGCAACAGCTTTTGTAAATTTGGCCATGCTTTCTCCAATCTCTGACCACCAACCAAGTCAGGACGCCAACAGATGGGCCCGACTTTGTTTATGTACTCTGTTGATGTATGTTAAATTTACTTACAAAGGGCATACACTTCTCGGACTGATATCTCAGAGCAAACCAACCCCGTTCTTTGTAGCAACGATCGCGAACAGCCGATTATTTATTGCTAACAAGTAGACTAATGGGCCCTGTGAGTTGCTTAGATGTTGACTGGAGTACGGTAGACAGAGGAGACTTACAAAATTTCGAAAAATCTGCTAGTTCACTTTAGCATCTCCTTATTTGCCTACATCTTACAAATGTTTAATTTGTCAAATGTCATTGGAGTATAAAGTCACGTATTTGCGTAAACTAGTAGTAAGTCGGACTCGCCGATACTCACGAGTCTCTCAGGTGGTACTAACTACCGTCCAGGAGAGCAGGCCGCAGTTCAAAGGGAGTACCCCAGGAGGATAGAGCAGGATGAAAATTCGCACGCAGTCCGAAATGGCTAGGTGAGAGTCAGGCCCGACCAGCTTACGAAGATGAATAATAACTGAAGCGCCATGACACAAGCATCTGCTA